TGCGTCTAGCGGAGCTTAAAAGAAATAGTAAAGAGTGCCATGTTTAATGCATACTCGCTGCACATATTAAGTAATGTAAATGCTTCTTAAGGCTGTAGGTAAATGCGGTCTCGATTATGATCTAGTAATAAATTTACAGGGTCAATTAGTGATCAAGAGATGATCATGAGACATAGGCTAGCTCTTAATCTCTGAGCAGAGAACAAAACTTCTGAAACCTGGCTAGCGTAAAAATCATTACAGGCTGAATGCCAGCAATCAGGCAAGCTGCTTCACAACAGTGGTTATGACACCACTTGCTGGACCTAAACATGTTAAACTTAGCTGAATTAAACAGTGCGATTATGCTTAGTTATGTCTAAGTAAGGGACATGCATTTTATGTAACAGCGACGGGTCTAAGCAGGCTATATTGCATGAAAGTCCTGAATACTTATGTGTGTGTCAGGGGTTGCTTGGTAGGGTCATCTGCCACCCGGTGCCCAGAGTCCAAGTTTGTCCCTAACACAGTCCCCTCACTCAGCCGATGCCGACTCTGGAGACTTGCCAGGTGTGCTGGGAGTAGGGGTGGAGAGAGCCGCTCCCCAGGGTTCCATATCCGCATGGAGGAAGTTCTCCGCCCGTGTCTCGGTGTAGGGTCTGTCTTTGCCTGCTTGTGGGGGCACCTGGCAGGATGCTTGCGGTAAGTCTGCGCTTCGAGGCCCATCGTGGGTTCCTCTGTGTTGGTCCAGGGTTGCATTTGATGGGGTGTAGGCTCCTCTCGGAGCTAGCCTCGCCCAGGCCCTGTGAGGTGTAACTAGTCAGGGTCAGCTTGTGCTCGTGTAAGGTGCTGATCTCTATTGGGTGCCATATTTTATGCCTGCTTACGGTGAGTCGATTTTGATGGCGCCATGTTCGCACTCTCTTTGCTCGGCGAGAGGTGCCATTTTGTCGGGATCGTGTGGGCGGCATCAGCGGTGTGTGTTCTTCTGGGGCTTGTGACATGGCTTGCTGGTCTTCAAGTCTCCTCCAGAAGGCTGCAAATATAGCTTGTAGCCGTGCCAGGGTGTCATGCCCCTCTGCTTCGCCCGGTGTTACAGTGGATATTGGCGCCATTTTCTGGGTAGCTGGCTCCGTCTGAAGCTGCTGTCCCGCTACCTGGATGGACCCTCCTGGGACCGGGATATCCACCACCGGTCCATGGGGGGGGGGGGAAATGGAGGCTCAGAGACCTGTTTTCCTAGGTCATCCAGGGAACCTACCTTTCTGCACCCAAAAGTTAAAGAAACAGGAGGAAGAAATTCCCATACTCACACCCATACTTGTCATGCCGGGTAGACGTGTCCTATATGAGCTCTGGACTTTTATGCAATTAAAGGACCACTAAACTTACCTCTTTCTCCAGCGCCGGGCGGGGAGCTCTCCTCCTCCCCTCCGCCTCCCCTCCTCCTCTTCGGCTGAATGCTTATGGACGCTGGCGTCTTCTCGCTGTGAAAATCACATTGAGAAGCGCGGAAGCCTGAGACAGCCACTAGAGGCTGGATTAACCCATTTATAAACATTTCTCTGAAACTGCTATGTTTATAGAAAAAAGGGTTAAACCTAGCTGGACCTGGCACCCAGACCACTTCATTAAGCTGAAGTGGTCTGGGTGCCTATAGTGGTCCTTTAATAGCAGTTTTATGCCTAAAAACTCGACTGATATGCAACTCACCAAGACATTTAACTGTCTCTAGCTGCACTTGAGCTATATTAGAGTGACTGTAACTCACCTTTGTGGACACGATCCCGGATCAATTGTACTGCAACCTGGTGTACCTTGACAAGTGGAGAGGCGGCCGATCTCCCGTCAGGACTACTCAGTAAGCTGCTGGAATCATCTCCCGGAGCCCGTTCCCCCCCTCTGGACCGGTCTAGGAGACATCCCTGACGAAACAGGGCTTCACTGCACTGCGGCCTAATCGGGCAGAAGGCACACGGAGACAATACAAGATGGCGGACACCATGTGTGCATTGCAGCCCAGCACCCAGGACCCACATCTGTCCACGCTGGACAGGGTCTTTGAGGACTTCTGGGCAGAGCTACAACACCGCCTCCAACAACCTCCCTTGCCAAAGCCACACCGTGGCCCACCTCATGAGCTTCCTCCCAGCACTCCACCCCCTCCAGCGACTCAAGCTCAAGGCCAAAAGCCGAAAGCCTTCACACAGCCGCCCACCTGTCAAACCTGTCTGCTGGACCACAAGCACTTGCACTGAGACCACTCACTGCCAAAGCCCACTCCAGCACACTCGGCCTCCCTGCCTCGCAGCCACGGAAAGCAGCTAACAGACGGCGAGCACGGGACCGCACTGCTGTGGAATGCTCCCCCCTCTCATCTTAACATGGTGACGGCACACTACCGCAGCACAGAGCTTACTCTGAGGAGTCTCAAGCATGCAGCGTCCTAGGTCTCTCCTATACTTTCTACTCCTGCCTTCAGAAGAGCCATGCAATGTGGGACCGGTGGGGTGAATCCGTCGACATAGCTGGACTACAGCATTCTAGTGGCAGTGCCTCCCCTCCCCCTCCAAAGGCATAGGCTGAAGTTACCTACAGCCTGTCTTTCAAACAGCCTCTCTTACTGCAGATACGATTAACTCGATTGTTGTTTATTTTATTTTATTTTCTTACTAATCTGCTTAAATCAACTAGTAGCTGTAGATTGTTTATATAGGGCCCGGTGATATTTTCCTCTAGCTTTAACACTTAAGTTTAGAGCATACAGAGGGGGTCGTGTCCTGGACGCTGACCGCACCGGCCGCATGTGCTGAGAGCTCCGCTCGAGCCAAAAAGCGCCCTCAAGCACTAACATGTCGCAACCTAAGGGCAAAAGAACGACGGAGAAGAGCAAAAAAGCTAATTTCTTTACATCTAGAGCCGGCCAAGGCAAGCACTGGCAGCCGCCAGACCAGGCCCAAGATGGCGCCGAAAGCGACCACGAGGCTATTACACAGCCCCCAGAGACAGAGCCTCCACTTACCCACAGCCTGATGAAAAACTTACTAAAGGAGATGACAGAGAAAATTCTCCACAAACTGGATGCTGCTCTGAAAGATCTCAGAAAAGATGTACAAGAACAGGGAAATAGAACGTCCCATATAGAAGACAAAATAGAGGGAATCTCGGAAGACCACAATACCCTGGCGGATAAAATAGAAGGGCTGACCGCGAGAGTGGCAGCCCAAGACATCAAAATAGCACACATGGAGGACCGTGCCCGCAGGAACAATCTGCACATCAGAGGCATTCCTGAGACCGTAAGCACTACGGACCTCACCGCACATGTCACAGGTTTACTGCGGCACCTGGCTCCTGACCTGCCTGCGGACATATTCCTCTTAGATAGGATCCATCGCACGGCGCAGCCCCAATTTCTGCCTCCAGAGTCGCCACGTGATGTACTCCTCAGGCTCCATTATTTTCATGCCAAGGAGGCGATACTGGTGGCGAACAGAACGGGCAAACCACTACCAACTGAATACAAAAGCCATGTAATATTCTCAGATATATCAGCCTATACCCTAAAACGGAGGAGGGACTTCAGACCCATCACAACAGCGCTGCCATACCACTGGGGATATCCCACCAAATTACTGGTCACAAAAGGTGGAAAGACAGCGGTGATTGCCACACCAGAAGACGGGGAAAGGATTCTGAAAACCTGGGACATTGATATACCACACAATCTGAACGCTAGCAAAGATGTGCCCAGAATCGCCCCAGACTGGAGAAAAACGAAAAAAAGATAAAAGAGACGCTATCACTATAAGCTACTGCAGCAGAACGCCCTAAAACAGCATATCTAATAAGAAGGACTATGATACACCGGTTGGGTAAGGTACCGTTATGTTAACGGGAGGGAGTGTGTAACAATGTTTAGAGGGATAGCAAGGGAATTGGGACCTAGAGGTTAATCAGAGACCCGTAAAAGAGACCCCCTCCCCAGAAGGTCTCAACTAATGAGGGGCATACCGCCTCCTATCACACACCACACGTAACATCCAGAGGCGGCTACTTAAACGACAGCCCCAATTATGAGATTCTAATAGGAGGGACTGAGAAAGAAGGCTAGTTGAGCCCAAACGGGAGAGGGACAAATCAGGAATCCAACCTAGGCCCAAGAGAGCAAATACACACGGGTGAGTTTAGCAAAAGAGGCACTGAAGCCCAAAACAAAAGAAAAAAAAAAGACACCATACCCCATAAACAAACAAACAACACTCTAGAAGCACTCGAGGGAGAGAGCTCCCCCAGGACGAGAGGTAACTACCTCGACCCACACAGCACGTACAAGCAGTGCCTAGCCATATTCGTGGCATGTATAGTAACAGTTATAGACCTATATGGGTTTTCCGTTTTTTCTTAATTTTTCTGTATACGGTTTTGGTTAACAAATGTTATGTTTACTGTATGAATGTTGTAAAACGCTTCAAGGGGCACGTGGGTGGCCCCACACCACTCGCACACAGCAAGCCACACAAAGCAAATACTAGACAAAGTCCACACTCTCCATACACATTCAGGAGACGCTTGAAAAGAGTATTGAGAAACCCCTTGCTCGGCTTGACACGGCTGGGGAGAGCAAGGGCCCTCGCACTAATAGAGGTTTTGATGAGACACACAAAAATTTGCACACGTCAACCACCGTGAGAATATGCACGTACAATGTGAGGGGACTGAATGTCCCTGCAAAGCGACACCTTCTCGCCCACGACCTTAGGACCACACGCACTGACATCCTTTGCCTACAAGAAACCCATTACCGCACGGATGACTTTACCAAGACATTGCTCAGTGACTTCCCACACCAATTCCACTCGACCTCTAGCTCGAAGTCGAAAGGAGCTTCCATCCTGATAAGCAAAGAGGTCAAATTTTCCCTCCACTCCCAAGACATAGACACCAACGGCAGATATGCCATTGTGTCAGGCATGATAAATGACATGTTATACACAATAGCAAACATATACTCGCCAAATGTTAATCAAAGAAATTTTCTACACAAAATCCTCCAAAAAATCGCGAACATACAACAAGGCATCACAGTGCTCTGCGGGGATTTTAATCACATCCTAGACCCTAAACTCGACACTACACTGCCCCAACACAGCCGCAGACACCGCCCCTTGAAAAGACAATGCAAGGCCATACAAAAACTTCTGCACACACATCACTTTTATGACACATGGAGACTCACACACCCCAGCGAACGGACATATACACACTACTCCCCAGTGCATAATTCTTACTCTAGAATAGATGGTCTCCTAATATCGGGCCCCCATCTGAACCAAATACAATCCTGCGACATCGGCCACATAACGTGGTCAGACCACGCACCAGTGCTACTAGAGCTTAAGGACAATTACGATTTCAGGCATCGTAGCCCCTGGAAAATAAACGATTCCCTGCTGCTCGACAAGAGCTTCACAGAGGAACTCACAGCAGAGCTGGAACTATACTTCAAAAATAATGACACTGAGGAGGTAACGACTACTACAGTGTGGCAAGCCCATAAGGCGGTGATAAGAGGCCTCCTGATTAGGAGAGCAGCGTTCATCAAAAGAACCACACAAACAAAACTTAGAGTGGCAACGAGAACTATATGACTTAAATACACAAAACCAAATCTCCCCGACAATGATAGCAAAACAACGTATAACCCACATAACGAGACTCATACACCAACAAGCTATAGATCAGGTTAATAGGCACATGACCAAACTAAAGGCAACACATTATGTACAGGGCAACAAAGCCAGCAAGCTACTAGCACTTCGCCTAAAACTTAAACAAGCAAACCAAAAAATACATCACTTAATAGACCATAAGGGGACAAAAGCTTCTACCCCAAAAGATATTAGCGAAGTCTTTGCCAGATATTACTCAGATCTATACAACATCAAAGATAACACCACCACTAGACAACCAGAGGAAAAAAATATAGCAGACAATTTATTATTATTCTTTATTTTTGTAGTGCGAAAGTTTGTAACAGTCGCTTGTGAGGTACCCCAAAGGCAATCCTCTAGCGCATTTCAAACAGTAAGGCATAGAGGTACTTGTTAAGGCTAGCACATTTTTATACATATATACGGTTACATCGCGTAATATACAGTGTGTATTATCATTACTTAGTCTCTTGCATAACATAAAATAACTTCGTTGATAATGGGGGTAACAATCAGGCTAGGGCGAGGCAGTATGTAACTGGGGTAGATAGGGTTAAACACTCCCTTCCTAGATTCTGGCTACACATGGTTATGCGGTAAATGTAGTTATAAGTGCGCTAAGCTAGATGACAGTGGAGTAAAATTAAGTTAAATCTCGAGAGGGAGCAGGCTAGTTCCACATGTCCAAGCTGGAATATACATTTATTTAGATTCTGTATGTTTCTTGTGCACGAGATAACTTACATGCTGGAAAATGCCACATTAGCTGTAACAAGTGCAATAGTAACAATCAATAGTGGTCAGAGATATGGTGGTTTGTTGGCTGCACATTTTTAATATTTAAACGTTGGTTCTGATGGTATGCAGGGGAGTCGGCTAGCGTGGCAACAGATTACATGTAGTGAGCAATGAGTAGTCTGAGTATTGTCTTGCAGGTTCTCCCTGCTAGTGTATGCCATATCTAGTTGTCTCTAGGGTACACGGCAGACCGCACATCTGATATGTGAGGTCTACCTGGGTACCGTACGTGGAGATCGTCCGTTGGGGGGTGTCTTGAGGCTTGCGGTCTGCCAAGTGGGTTAGTGTCCCCTGTGACCCTGGGGTGGGGTGCAGGTGTGGGGACCAAGTGATAAACCTGCTCCTTGTGTCCTGGTCTCTGTCGGTGGGCTACGTGGGTGCGGAGGTTAATGTAGCAGTGAGACTGCTTAGTGGGCTTCTCGCTCGGGTTTGGGAGAGCGATAGTGTCGATCCCCTTAAGGCCTATCATGGGGTGTCTAGGGCAGCAATTAAGGCAATGTGAGAGCATATCAGAAAATCAAAACTGAAAAGAGAAATGCTAATAGTAATAAAAACTATGGAAACAAAAAATACAGGAAAAACCGGCTGAGATCATTGGTGTACAAGACCGTTCAGCCAGGGTGTCAGTCCTGTAGTTTCAGTCCTGCAATGAGGAAGAACGTCCCGGTGCGGGTGTTGGGCCCTCACGTGGTCACTGTTGCATACTCGGGTTTCCCCGTTCCTCGTGGGATGAAAGGGATTGTCTTCGTTGGATCCCATCTCGGAACCGTTGCTGATGCTTCCTGTGCAGTAATGGGCGGTAGCCCCTCCAGAGGTAGGCCCAGCAGGCGCAGCAAAGCGGGTGCTTCTTGGATGTCCGAAATGGAGTAGGCCTTGTTATCTTGTTGTATGTGTAGAGTGTGTGGCGTGCGCCAGCGGTAGGTAATCTGCTTCTCTCGGAGCAGCTTGGTGATGGGCAGCATGGACCTGCGCCACTGCAGAGTTTCCCCTGACAGGTCCGCGAAGAAAGACAGGACCATCGATTCAAAGCTGTAGGTGGCTGCTCCCTTCAGGGCCGTGAGTACTGCCATTTTGTCGGCCGCGCTTCTGTACTTCACCACCAGGTCTCGGGGGGCTGCCTCAGGGGCTCTCCGGGGTTTCGGGACCCGGAAGGCCACTTCAAAGCCGATGTTCCTGGCTTGCTTAGGAGTCGATAGGGCTCCTGTGAGCCTCCGTAGGAGGTGTGGGATTTCCTCTGCAGGTATGTCCTCCGGGATCCCGCGGATCTTTAGATTATTGCGGCGCCTGGCGTCTTCTAATGCCGCGAAGCGTTGGTCAGTTTTGGCCTGCTTTTGCTTTAGTGCCTGCAATTCCTGCCTGAGCTCTATTATTTCTTGTGCTTGCCGCGTGGAGGCTACTTCGACCGCATCACACGGCCTACCAGGCCCGTGAGGTCTGTGCGTAGCTGTGCGACATCAGCCTGGAGGGTTTTCTGCAAATCTCCTAGAAGAGTCTTCAGCAGCATCGCCGTCACCGGTTCTGCAGCCGCAATGCTTGGTGCTGGTTGTTGGGGTCTCCCTGGAGGTAGGAGAGTGACTTCCTCTTGGAAGAAATCCCCCGAGGAGTCAGAGAATTCGTCGAGGTCGGTGGCCATCTTGGGGCTGTATGCGCCTTGCGCTTGGGTGAAGAGATCCCTTATGCTGGCCCCCTGTTTGGGTCGGTCCGGTTTTTGTTTCTTGGTTTTCCTTCCCATTGTCATTATGGGTAGCTTGGGCGTTATTATCAGCAATTAGGTGGCCGAAAATCATCAGTTTGCTCTGGGTAAACACGGAGCCCATCTACCCTGCGTCCGTTCAGGTCGGCTGCCAAGCTCCGCCCCTAGCAGACAATTTAGACGGAGTTCAGCTGCCATCATTAACACATATACAACGGGAAGCACTTAGTAACCCGATTACAGACCAGGAAATGATTGCCACAATAAAATCACTACCAAACGGGAAATCCCCAGGCCCAGATGGCCTCAACAACACATACTATAAAACATTCAGGGAGATCCGGGCACCCCACCTGGTTAAAACCTTTAATGAAGCGATAGCCACCCATTCCCTCCCCAAGGAAATCTTATTGGCACACATTGTCACACTCCCGAAACCGAACAAACCGCCAACAACCCCACAGAACTTCAGGCTCATATCACTTCTTAACACGGATGCAAAGTTACTTGCAAAACTATACGCCATAAGACTAGGGTCCGTGCTGCCACACATTATACACAGCCACCAAGTGGGGTTCGTTAAAGGAAGACAGGGGTCGGACAACACCAGGAAGGTCATATCTATATTCCACAAGATACAAACACAAGCAGGGGGGGATACTAGTCTCCCTGGATGCAGAAAAGGCATTCGACTGTCTACATTGGGGATTTCTACAGGTAGTCCTGCAGAGATTCGGGATCCCAGACACAATAATAGCAGTGATAAAAGCCTTATACAGCCCCCCAACTGCACAGGTGCTGAACTCGGGGGTTCCTGTCGAGCCCCTTCAAACTTACTAACGGGACACGACAGGGGTGCCCCCTCTCCCCTTTACTATATGTGATGGCATTGGAGCCCCTAGCGATTAAAATGAGAGAGAACACATCCATACATGGAGTGAGAGTGGGGGGAAAAGAATACAAAACAAATCTTTTTGCAGACGACATCCTACTTACACAACCCCATATATCGCTGCCGAACCTATTGAATGAAATATGCTTATATGGGGACCAGTCATACTATAAACTAAATGTCACCAAGACGCAGGCAATGGGAGTGGGAGTGCCAGGCCACACAATAGCTCATCTAAAAGCTACATTCCCCCTAGATTGGAGGGATGACTACCTCACCTTCCTGGGCCTGCGAATAACTAAGACCATAGCAGGTCTTCATGAACACAATTACGAAAGGCTAAGGAGAGAAATAGCTGACACCCTACAAACATGGGAGGACAAATACCTGTCTTGGGTGGGCTGTCAAAATGATAGTGATGCCCAAACTCCAATACCTATTTCGCACACTACAGATACCAATACCAAATATATTCCTGCAAACACTCCAACGAATCATAAACAGATTCATATGGGCAAATCGCAAAATACGGGTAGCAACTAAAATACTGAGCAGACCGGTGACAGAAGGGGGACTAGGTGTACCTGACGTGAGCACATACTACAAGGCGACCCTATTGGCCACAGCGGTCCTAGCACATAAAGCGGAGGACAGACCACAATGGGTAGACATAGAATCGACAGGGACATGCCCAAAAGGATTACACTACTTATTCTGGATCCCCCACAAACTACGCCCTAAAACACTGAAGATGCCAGATACCACGTCTCTATTACTGAGAATGTGGGATGCAGTCAAATCACAATTAGGACATACTAAATCATGGTCCCTAGCGACCCCACTGCAAAGCATACATATTGCCAACCCCACATTCGACCACAGGCCATGGGAAAAAGGAGGCTGTATATTGATCAAACACTTATACCACAACGATGCCCTGACGCAATTCCCGGACCTCCAGAGCCGATATAATTTGCCATCTCGCTCATTATTCTCATATCTCCAACTCAAATCACTCCTAGAGCACGACACAGAGAAAGCAACACATAGGGAAGCGAAGATCATAGAACAAATCTGTGAAGCCAGAATCATACCGAAACAAATTATATCTAGCCTATATAGATTGCTGATAGACCCTCAGGGCGAAAAAATGGAGAAGCACCAAGAAGCATGGCAAATAGACATAGGAAAG